CCGACGGGTATGAAGTGTGTGTGTGCTCTAAAGTGGTTTATCAGTAATCAAAGTTTTTTTACACCGAAGGAATTTCCGGCTTTTGACAAAGTTATGAGCGAGAATATCGCTGTCGTGTCGGATGAAAAATGGAAACGACTTCGATCTATCATCACACCTGGTAATGTTTTATTTTACTTTTCATTTCATCTAATTATTTTTTAAAAATTGAAGCTTTTTCTGTTGGAAAGCTAAAGCAGATGAAGCCTTGTATGGACAAGACAGTGCAAACTCTGCTTCAGAACATCAATAAAAAACTGACAGAAAGGTATTAATCAGTAACAAAACAAGTATTTACATTATTTGACCACCGATTTTTGATTTCACAGCTCAACTCACAATGTCAAAGGCATCTTTGATTGTTTCACTATTGACACGATTATTCAGACTGCTTTCGGTAAGTTTGTCTCTCAAAAAGATTACATCTTTTTTTATAAACTTTTGTTTGGTTTTAGGTGTGACTGTTGACTCGCTGAATGAACCAAACAATCCAATCATTGTCAACGGAAGGAAGATGTTCCAAAGTTCCCCAAAACTGCTTGATCTAATCAAAATGTCAATGCTCTTTATGATGCCAAAGCTGGCAAAACTTTTGCATATTGAAGTTACCGATGAGGGGACAACGTTTTTCACTAAGCTTTCTGTGGACATTATGAATCAAAAGAGAGAGGAGTTTGCCACGCAAAAAGATGGTTTCTCCAAAGCAACCAGTTTTATTGAGTTTATGATTATTGCAGAGCAAGAGGGCAAGAAGATGGAAACGGCTGAAGAGNGCTTGATCTAATCAAAATGTCAATGCTCTTTATGATGCCAAAGCTGGCAAAACTTTTGCATATTGAAGTTACCGATGAGGGGACAACATTTTTCACTAAGCTTTCTGTGGACATTATGAATCAAAAGAGAGAGGAGTTTGCCACACAAAAGGATGGTTTCTCCAAAGCAACCAGTTTCATTGAGTTTATGATTATTGCAGAGCAAGAGGGCAAGAAGATGGAAGCGGCTGAAGAAGAAAATGATCAGAAGAAGCCAACTAAATGTAATCAGATTTGCTTTTTCAAAAACATTAGTTTAACTTTTACTGCATTTAGATATGACACCCGACGAGGTTGTATCACAGTGCGTCATATTTTTCCTTGCCGGTTTTGAGACAACGGCAACACTGCTCTCAGTGACCGCCTTTCACCTTGCACAGAACCCGGCGATTCAGGAGCGACTGTACGAGGAGACAGTGGCCGTCATTGAGAAGCTAAAGGCGGAAAGCCCCGATGAGCCGGACATCTACAAGCTGATCACCTACGAGGCAATTCAAACTCGCTTTGAGTACCTCAACGCCGTCATCAGTGAGACACTGCGCATCGACTCGCCGGGCATCTTTCTCGAGCGGACCGCCAGCAAGGACATTGAGCTGACCAACGGTGATGGCTCAGTGAGCGTCTCCCTGAAGGAGGGCGACATTGTGCACGTGCCAGTGTGGACTATGCACCGAGATGAGAAGTACTTCCCTGAACCGGAGCGCTTCAAGCCGGAGCGCTTTCTCTCCTCCAGCCTTTCAGAGCCGACGTTCAACAAGAACGCCTACAATCCCTTCGGAACCGGTCCGCGCGCCTGCGTGGCTCGCCTGATGGCGCTGATGGAGGCTCGCATGGCAATGCTGCACCTGGTTCGGTGCTACCGCTTTGAGCTTTGCCCTCAGACGCAGATTCCCCTCGACTTTACCGTTCAGTTTGACCTTATCACCCCAAAGGAGGTTAACTTGAAAATTGTTAAGCGGTAATAGTTTTAATTGCTTTTTTATGTGCTGTAAATTGAAATAGGGCAGGTGTGAGGTTGTTGAAAAACGGGTTAGGCAATAAAAATGCGTAGACCAATTATAAGGAAATAAGAAAAGCACAAAAACTGTATAAAAACTCACTTTAAAATCATCACTTACACCTCACTCAACAATGAAGCATACTGTCTTTTGGTGTCCTCTCCTCATCTTTGCTCTATCTGCCAAATGCACAGCAGCAGCCAGTGTAAAAAGATTTCCAGCTGTTGAATCGATCATTGTAGGCGGGAGAACAGCTGTTGAGGACGCCTACCCGTACATGGTCTCCCTCCGACTGCTGAACAAAGTCAGTCACCACTTTTGCGCCGGATCGATCATTTCTGAGCGGTACATCCTCACTGCCGCCCACTGCACCATTTTCCCGGAAGGCATTGGTGATCCAAAGGGAAACAACGTGGTGGTGGTGATTGCCGGAATCAATCGACGGCAGAAGGTGCCCAAAGGGCTCTACCTCTCCAAGCGTTTCATCGTTCACAAGCAGTACAGTAATCGCACCAATGAGAACGACATTGCCCTTCTTCAGCTGACCGAGCCCATACGGTTCACTGATGGAGTGAAGGCGGTGCCGATGGCATCCATCCCGCCGCCCGTTGGAGCACTGGCCACTCTGGCCGGCTGGGGAGTCAACAAGATTTTTCCCAGTCTTCAGATGCCGGCTCGTTTGCAGGAAATTACCAACATGAAGGTTCTCAGAACGGAGCAGTGTAATGAACTGCTGCCCGCTAGTTCTCAAATGAATAGCAGTTCGGAAGGACAGCTGTGCACTATTCTGCCAAAAGGAAAAGGCGCCTGTATGGGCGATTCAGGTAAGAGCAGCAGAAGATCATGATAGTTTTTGACGGTCATTTTCTTTTAGGTGGTGGACTGCTTGTGAACCACACTTTAGTGGGAATTGTCAGCTATGGAATACCGTGCGCTTTAGGCTATCCGGATGTTTTTACCTCCGTTGCCCACTATCGAGATTGGATCAGGACAAATGCTGGAATTTAGCAGGTTTTGATTATTATTTTAAAATTTTTAGCAGCATTTGAATAAAACTAAAAAATTAAAAGTAAGACACTTTTTTGAAAAATCAATAACAATAGTGTAACGCACAAAACAGTAAGTTTTAGTTATCATGCAAAATTACACAACAGTTTCCAAACTTTTACTTGAAGCATTTTTTAAATTAAAATGAGTACTTTTTAATTACAATGTGTTGTATTTTTCTAAAAATTTATAGTAACGAGTTTTGTGCTGGAACTTGTATCTGGTTAGCTCAAGCGACAAAAATTGCAAACAATAAACACGCATTTTATTGTTGTTCAATGATGATTTTTACAAATTTTGTGTAAATTAGATAGCACTGCTCAATTATAAGAATAGTAGCGGCCACCAGGCCGCTGGTGACGTAGCTTTGCTCACGCGAAGTTCGAAACCGTTGTAAATGCTTTATAAGCTGCTCCCTCTACCATTAATAGTCAGTCTGNGGACTACGTCATGCTTGTAAATCTCTCCGCGCGCTGCGTTACCAATCGCTTCTGGTGGCAACGGTGAGATGAACTCAGGCCTCTGCGTTTCGACACCCAAGTCATGGTTCCCCGCCTGCCGAAGCAAAGTAGAAGATCGACGGCCCAAGGAGGATCAGCCAGGACAAGAGAAGCGACGGGCTCCTGGGCCAAAGCAAATAGGGCCACCCG